AGTATTTCATCATAAATCTTGGCCAACATTTATTCTGTTATCTTTTTAGTAAAAACCAAAATAACACAAATTAGTTTATAACCAAAAATTATAATTTTTAAACCTTTTTTTTTTTTACCTTTTTTTTAATATTATTATTATTTCTTTTTTTTACATACTGTCACCCTAGCAGTACAGTGTCACCATGGTGACACTGTTCTACTTGTGGGGGGGTGATGAAGATTTTTTTTTTTTTTACACTGATTGCTTTTACACCCATAAAGGCTGTAAAAGCAATCATTTCTCCTTCTCTCTGGCTGCATTCTTGCAGCCATTGAGAACTACTGTGTGAGCTGTGATTGGTCACAGCTTGTCACATGGTACAAGGCTGTTGTGAATAGCCTTGTACCATGTGACCTCTGTGATCATTCACAGATTTCACACGTAGTAAGCAATGATGTCAGAAGTGACATCTTGCTTACTACTCTGCGTGTGATCACTGATTGGCCAATCAGTGATCACATGATCGGGACTTTGCACAGAGGTCCCGTCCAACGATCGGTGTTCCACTGTGTCCGGAGAACACAGCGGGCACCGGATTGCGGTGCTGCACGCTCCCAGGAAGCGCGCACAAGCAGGGTGCGGGGAGGCCGTTTATGGTGACACTGTACTACTTCTGGAGGGCGATGAAGATTTTTTTTTTCTTTACACTGATTGCTTTTACACCCATATAGGATGTAAAAGCAATCATTTCTCCTTCTCTCTGGCTGCATTCTTGCATCATTGAGAAGTACTGAGTGAGCTGTGATTGGTCACAGCTTATCACATGGTACAAGGCTGTTGTGAATAGCCTTGTACCATGTGACCTCTGTGATCATTCACAGATTTCACATGTAGTAAGCAATGATGTCACAAGTGACATCTTACTTACTACTCTGCGTGTGATCACTGATTGGCCAATCAGTGATCACATGATCGGGACTTGCACAGAGGTCCCGTCCAATGATCGGTGTTCCACTGTGTCCGGAGAACACAGCGGGCACCGGATCGCGGTGCTGCACGCTCCCAGGAAGCGCGCACAAGCAGGGTGCGGGGAGGCCGTTTATAAACGGTCACCCGCCCCTGCGCTGCCACCGCCTGGCCATTTATATACAACGGCCGGATGTGCGAAGTGGTTAAGGTAAAAAAAAAAACTTGCAACCTTTAGAGCCACTTTAAATGTCCTCTGTAGTCCTGAAATTGGGGTGAAATCGGGAGAGGAGTCTGTACTAATTTGCAAGAACGAAGGGAAGACTGCAATTCATCTTTAATGAAGCCCAATAAAAGCTTTAATAAGTGAGATTCTGCAGCCTGACCTGTGCTAAAGGATCCTCGGGGAACGGGGTCAGGAGGCTCTTCAGGCAGAGCCGCTAACTGGCTGCCTGTGAATGTACTTTTGTCGATCCTCCAGCATGACCCGTTCTGGTGGGTACAAAACACTTGGATTTCGTCCGTCTCTGGAAAGTACTCGGTGAACTCCTGTGAAGAATTATCCTAACCGTCAGGTGGGGGTGATGACAAAGGCGCAGCAACCATTGGGAGCGGTGTGTTTTCGGCCTAATGCAGAGGGTCTTGTTGAAAGGTTTGCGTCAGTCCCTGAAGTTTCTGAGGCCAGGACTGTGTGAGCAATGAGTGGTTGAGGTCATCTTTAGTCTCGTTGGTTTTATTAGAGGGGAAAAAAGAAGTTCCCCTCTAATAATTTCAAACCATGCTGTGGTCCCAATGGGAGGGTTTGAAGACTTTTTTCAGCAAACTTAAAGTGGTTGTAAACCCCACATGTACTCAGTGAAGTGACTGGCCTCAGGTGATGCACAGAGATTAAACAAATCCTCCTACATAAGTTGTACCTGTTTATCTGCAACGGTCTTTCCACTGCATCCATTCAAAATACAGAATTAACACAGGATCTCTCAGTTGTGAAATGCAGGGGGCGGAGAGCTGAAGTTGTGTCACTGAGGAGAGCTGATTGGAGAGAAGGGACACACGCCCTTCACACTGCTCACAGGAACAAAGCTGAGTCTGTCAATCTGGTGGAGATCCCTCCCCTGTCACCATATTTTTTTCTCTTGGTGTCAGGAAAGCTTGTTAGAAGTGATTCATACTGATAGAAAAGGAACAAAATGACACTTAGTGCTCTGGATTGAGACAAATGCACACTATGGAAGGATATGCTTTGTTCATATTTCATGTCTGAGGTTTACAACCACTTTAACCCTCTCACTGTCCTCCTTTCTGTTTTTTAAAATGACTTTTTATTTAATTTTTTTTATTCCAGCCCACCGGTCTGCTTTCATTCTTATACTACTGCAGCCTCTTGGGATGTCCTCATCACATCCATCATATCCTCCTGGGATGTCCCCATCACATCCATCATATCCTCCTGGGATGTCCCCATCACAGATCTCAGGAGGCTTTAGGAGTAGGAACAAAGAGCGGGTGGTGGGTGGAGATGTGCGCATCATCGGGTGCTGGCGGCCAGCTACCAATACTGGGGAGGACCGAGATGGCGGCGCGGGACCGAGGCGGAGTCACCTGAACCTGTTCCCGAATGCAGGGTACTTCTGTGTGAACAGTAGAGGAGTTGGAGTTGATCTGAGTCCCATAAATGTCTATTTATTTGATATATTTCAGGTATTTATATAGCGATGTGATCACAACAGGGCAGCGTTAGATTGGCTGGGCTGGTGATTATATGATTTAAGGAAAGTGCTGCACAAAAGGTAAGTACGGTTTGAGAAAAACAGAAAGGGAAGAGTTGCTTAGTTACATAGTTAGTCTGGCTGAAAAAAAGACAAAAGTCCATCCAGTTCAACCATAGAAAAAAAAAAAAAGTTATTCTATACCCACAGTTGATCCAGAGGAAGGCAAAAAAAAAAAACAGCAAAGCATGATCCAGTTTTCTCCTGCAGGGGAGAAGATTCCTTCCTGATCCCCCGAGAGGCAATTGTATATTCCCTGGATCAACTTTATCTATAAATGTTATATTCTGTATATCCAAAAAAGAATCCAGGACCTTTTTTTTAAAGCAGTCCACTGAGCTGGCCACAACCAACTCTTGAGGGAGTCTATTCCACAAGAGCGAGGTTCCTCTTTAAGAATATGTTGGGAAATTCAAATTTTCTGAGTTTAGAAAGTAGTAGGAGTGGGGCTGACCAATCAGTGGTTGGGTATCGGGGGGGGGGGGGGGTCAACAACCCACAAAGAAATCAAACAACACAATACAAAAAACCCTTTTTCCTTTTTTTTTTTTTTTTTTTTTTTTGTTTTTGTTTTTCAAGGCAGTGAGATGCCCGCTGGCGTCCCAACAATCATGAGTCACCCCTGCTACTGTCAGTGGGGATTCCTTGCTGACAGCAGAATGTAAACAGAAGAGCTGCCATAAAAAACAAATAAATGGTTGGGGGCCCATATCAGGCCCTTTTTTTTTTTTTTTTTTTTTTTTAAAGTAATGCCAGCTTTCATTCACCAAAAGAAAATGGCTTGGGGTTTCCTCAAAATGCATAGCACACCCTCACCCGAGCAGCCTGGCTGGCCAGGAAAGGGGGGATCAAGTGAGCATACCACGCCCCTGCCCCCCTCCCACCCAGCAAAGCACTTTGTGCTCATGTTAATGAGGACAAGGACCTCCTCCCCACAACCTTGGCTGGTGGTTGTGGGGGTTGCAGGGGGTAACTTATCTGGAAGCCCCCTTTAACAAGGAATCCCAGCTGATAGCTGTTAGGACCCTGGCAGGTGCTGGCTCTTTAACAACTGTTGACTTATCCCTACTGTTGACAGAAGGGATTGACTCCTTGTTGTTAGGATACTGGCAGGTGCCAGCTCCTTAGCAACTGATGATTCATCCCTACTGTTGACAGAAGAGCTTGACTCCTCATTGTTAGGATACTGGCAGGTGCCAGCTCCTTAGCAACTGATGACTTATCCCTACTGTTGACAGAAGGGATTGACTCCTCATTGTTAGGATACTGGCAGGTGCCAGCTCCTTGGCAACTGATGAGGCATCCCTACTGTTGACAGAAGCGATTGACTCCTCATTGTTAGGATACTGGCAGGTGCCAGCTCCTAGCAACTGATGACTCATCCCTACTGTTGACAGAAGGGATTGACTCCTCATTGTTAGGATACTGGCAGGTGCCAGCTCCTTGGCAACTGATGAGGCATCCCTACTGTTGACAGAAGGGATTGACTCCTCATTGTTAGGATACTGACAGGTGCCAGCTCCTTAGCAACTGATGATTCATCCCTACTGTTGACAGAAGGGATTGACTCCTCATTGTTAGGATACAGGCAGGTGCCAGCTCCTTAGCAACCAAAGACTCATCCCTGCTGCTGACTGCAGGGAAGAGTCACTGGTTGTTAGGATGCTGGCGGGTACCGGCTCCTAACAACCAAAGCCCAGGAAACTTTTCTTTGGAACAAAAAACATAAAAAATGCTTAAAAATCGCATGTAAATGCGGATGCAGTTACACATCTGGAATGCATCTGTTTTGCGTTTCTCTGCTGTGAATCGATCATAAAAAATGACCATTGTCACCTAACGTTTTTCGATCCTCTGGTTAATGGAAGCACTTTTTGGCTTCTCCAGACTATCTGGCTCTAGAAATTGGCAATTAAACAGTCCATCCTTTGTTGCAGAGTATTAGATTAGCAATCTGAATCGCTCCCTCTGCTCTTAGTAAGGATAATAATGCTTAAGGAATGGTTCCTGTAAACTCCAACCCTGGACTGGCATGGAAAGTGATTATTTTTTATTCTGGATATTTGCTGATTTGGTTTTGTTTGGTTTCAGGTGGATATAGCACCAGCGCCCAACCAAAGTGATGCCCTGATGCTGCAGGAAGATGGCGGCGCACAGGTTGGAGCTGGCCAGCGACTAGAGGAAAAACCCCCGGACCCCGTTGTCTCTGAGCCTGCTGGAACTGCACCGTTGTCAAAATCTAGAGGCAAGACTCGAGCACTTGAGGCCAAGCAAGCCGCTAACATGCTGGATACAAACGTTCAAACCGCTTCGAGTAAACATGGTAAAAAAGTAGAGTCTGCCAGGACTCCTGCACAGGAGAAAGCAGCGGGCACCGAACCTCCTGCTCTTCGACCTGCTGATGCAGATCCTTCCACGAAGCAAAAACCTATCCTGGGCCCTGGATTACAAATTGCAGGGCAGCGGTGGAGGCTTCCCACACAGTAGTCTCGTCTAGCTTTGGCACCCTTACTCCATTCACTATGAGCAGAATCTGCTTCTCCGCCACTCAGGTCCCTACCGTGCAGAAGCTTCCTTTGTCCTTTCCGACCGGTACTGTCTTAGCGCCGAGCCAGCCCTTAGTTTACATCCCTCCAGCCAACTGTGGACAACCCCTCAGTGTAGCTACCTTACCGACCACGTTTGGCGTTACTCCGACTCTAACCCTTCCCATGTTGCCCGCCTGTTTGCAGGACAGATGCCTACTTCAGACTCCTTCAGACATGCACACCCATGCTTTTGCTTCTCCTCTGGGAAGACCCTTAACCACTGATCCTAAAGTGGCTTCTACCGAATCAAATAAACCAACCAGCACAGTCCCTTCCATTACCCTCACCAACAGCAATAGCGTCATCCCGTCTACGGCCGATGGCTCCATAGCCTCCACCGACACAACGTCCTCCACACTGTCCTCCGCACTAACAGCTTTACAGACTCTGTCCGCACATCCCACTCTTCCCATGGTCAACGTAAGCCCCATCGCCCTCACCACGTATTCAAGAACGCCTTCTAGCCTAGAACCTCAAAGTGATTCCTCTTCTTCATCCGTGTCCCCTTTAAAGTCCCCACCGCAGCTGGAGCGAGAAATGGTGTCTCCTCCAGATGTTTACGAAATGCCTTTGGACTTGTCCTCTAAATCCCACCGTCATAAACACGCCCCATCAAACCAACGTAAGACTCCTCCCATGCCAGTGTTAACGCCGGTGCACACCAGTGGGAAAGCCTCTCTGTCCACCGTCTTGTCCAGGTCCGACTGTAACTCCCAGCGGCTCACGTCAAACACCAGCAGCAGTGTTAACCAGACTTTACGGGGGGCGCCACTGGTAATGTTCCCAGAGTTCTTGAGAAATGGAGATCCGGGGTCACCACAGCTAGCGCCTGGGTCTTGGATCAAAAATTCTGCTGCTCTTATTAGTACCATTCCAGGTACTTACGTAGGGGTGGCCAACCCAGTGCCTGCCTCTGTGTTGTTGAACAAAGACTCGAACTTGAGCCTTAACACGGACTCCCGCCATCTGGCAAAGCAGGAACCTATCTCAATCATTGACCAGGGAGAGCCAAAGAACTCAGGGTCGTGCGGCAAGAAAAACAGCCAGGCCAATGTCGATGGCCAGCAATCCACTGAAAAAAGAAATCTTCTCGGACGCGTCGCTACGGTGAACTCTTTATGTCCGTCAAAGGATTGGACCTTAGCTGGACATGGGACAGTACACCCAAAGTGTCCCTTAAACGGGAAGCCTAGCAATTCTCAGGTTCTGCCAGTTAATTGGTCTCAATACCATCAGACGTCGCTGCTTTCCATCGGCTTACAGGCCACAAGCACACTCCATTCAAACCAAGGTCCTCCTCACAGACTTCCGGTTGCAGAATACACTTTATTCCCCAACATTCTTCCAGCTGAGTCCAATGCAACACCTCAAAGTACAGGTGACTCTACACTTAATGCCCAACTGAAAAACTCTACGGGAGCTGCTCCAGAGCAGGACACGTTGGCCAAGGCAAGGACGTGCGAGACTCTTTCAAAGCAGCATAAATCCCATACCAACAAAACACTGCTTGCACCAAAACCTTCTGCAGGAAATAACGTTTTGTGCCCTCAGCCAGGTGTGGCGGACAGAGCAGATTGTAGTGCAAATTCTCTACTACAGGGGGTGGAAGAAAGCACCCTTTTAAATAAACTTTCCGAAAAAACGAACTGCAAAGACAAAATTCGCCCAAAGCTGAGTTGCAGTCGAAAGATCTTCGGCGACGTCAAGCCGAAAAAAAAAAACAAGGTCTTGGCCTCGTACATGACGAACGACCAGCTAACCACGGTTCAACCAAAAGACAGTAGCCACGGCTTTTCTCTGCTGGGTCTGGACTGCACTAAAACGGACTTAAAGGCCGATCTGCCGCAGGATCAGCCCGCTCAGAGGAAACGGAGCCACAAAAAAGCACACACGCCGGAGGCAACTCACTGCGTTCAGGAGGTGGACTTGAGCAAGGTCAAAATCGAGAGGATAGACGATGACGAGGAAAGCTTTGGCCGTTTGCCGACCTTTAACGATTCGTCATGGTCGCCCATGGAAATGCCACCAATTACCAAAGTCAAGGCCAGGGTGAAGAAGGAGCCGGGGTTGAGGGGACGTATAAAGCAGGTGGAGGAGTTAACGCCGACCAAGACCACGCAGCCCAAGTCGAAATGTAAATCGAAGCAAAAAGACACAGATCACACCATGGAGGAACCTCCTAAAAGGAAGGTGAGCAGTGCCAACGATGCCAAAAATTTGAGACATTGCTGTGAGACTGTTGGTTGTGATAGCAGAAACTGCATGTACGTTCGTTCTGTGTGAATATTGGAAAAAGCGAATGTTACCGGGCTATTTCCTCTCCAGGCTGGATGTTCTTCATTCCTAAGAATATTGCAGATCAGGAAAATACTTTATTAGAACCACTAAATCAGTGGTAATGAAATAAAATTCAAGGAAGTCCAGTCACTAAAATTATTTTCCAGCCAAGGTCCGAATCTCTCTAATACTGATAACCGAAAAGTAGGCCAGTCACTCCACATTTTAAGATAATAGAACCACCTTCATATAAGGTATCCCCATCAGAGTGCCCCCTTACATCAGGTGCCCCCAGCACTCCGATAAATCCATTGTCCTCAACGAAATATCCCCTTTAGATCAGTTGCCCCATCCCAGTACTTCCTTATATCAAGTGTCCCCATTACAGCGCTCCCTTACATCAGGTGTCCCCATCAGAGTGCCCACTTACATAAAGAATCGCCATTAGAGTTCCCCCATACATCAGGTGCTCCCATAAATCAGGTACTTAATTTAGGACACCCTCATATATCAGTTGCCCCAGCAGAGTGTCCCCTCACATCAAGTTCCCCCATCAGAGTGCCTCCGTACATCAGGTGCCCCCAATCATGAAGTTCCACCATCAGTGTGCGTGCATATATCAGGTTATCCCATCAGGGGGCCTCCTTAAATATTGTGTCCCTATCGGTGTGTCCCCCATAGGCCGGGTTCCCCCATGGGCGTGCCCCCCATAGGCTGGGTTTCCCCATGGGCGTTGCCCCCCATAGGCATGGTTTCCCCATGGGTGTGTGCCCCTCCCATAGGCGTGGTTCCCCCATGGGCGTGTGCCCCCCCATAGGCATGGGTTCCCCCATGGGTGTGTGCCCCCCCATAGGCATGGTTCCCCCATGGGCGTGTGCCCCCCCATAGGCGTGGTTCCCCCATGGGCGTGTGCCCCCCATAGGCCGGGTTCCCCATCAGGGTTCCCCCAATGGCCAGGTCCCCTCATGGGTGTGCCCCCATAGGCCGGATTTCCCCTTCAGAGTCTAACTACAGATCAGCAGAGCTCTTAAGAGACAAGCAGGCAGGGGGCAGGAGAGGATAATCAAGCTGCAAGGGGCAGGGTACATGTGACATCATTGGTTGCTATGACACCAGTGGTCCTAGCAACCAGTGACTGCAACTTAGTGAGGATCCAATGCAGCAGAGTGATGGGCTGACGGTCCGGACTGGGCTGTGAGTCGGTCCGGTATCAAACCATGGCCCGCCGATTTAGAAGACTGCACTAACTGATGATCATGGTAAATAGGTGTTTATTGCCTGTGATCCGACAGCTCCACCTAGTGGCCATAAAGTATCTTCCTGATTTTACCCTAACGAATGACTAACATTCAACTTGGAGAGGAAATAGCCTGGTAACCTTCGACTTTGCCCCCATTCCCATAGAATGAATGTACATGCCGTTTTCAAGGGACAAAAAATTTTTTTTTTTTTTTTTTTTTAAATAAATGCACCTCATTTTGTCAATAATTAATTGTTTGTTACTTTACGGGCCTGAAATTGTAGTTTGGATTGTGGTAATTGGTACAAAGCATGCAATGACAGCACTCGGTGCTTTCTGAAGAGGTAGCAAAGTTTGGGTTTTCTTGCAGAGTTGTATGGGACCCAGCAGTCCCTATCCCCGTTGTCGGCAGTCCTCATCCCCGTTGTCGGCAGTCCTCATCCCCGTTGTCGGCAGTCCTCATCCCCGTTGTCGGCCGTCCTCATCCCCGTTGTCGGCCGTCCTCATCCCCGTTGTCGGCCGTCCTCATCCCCGTTGTCGGCCGTCCTCATCCCCGTTGTCGGCCGTCCTCATCCCCGTTGTCGGCCGTCCTCATCCCCGTTGTCGGCCGTCCTCATCCCCGTGGTCGGCCGTCCTCATCCCCGTGGTCGGCCGTCCTCATCCCCGTGGTCGGCCGTCCTCATCCCCGTGGTCGGCCGTCCTCATCCCCGTGGTCTGCCGTCCTCACCCCCGTGGTCTGCCGTCCTCACCCCCGTGGTCTGCCGTCCTCACCCCCGTGGTCTGCCGTCCTCACCCCCGTGGTCTGCCGTCCTCACCCCCGTGTCTGCCGTCCTCACCCCCGTGGTCTGCCGTCCTCACCCCCGTGGTCTGCCGTCCTCACCCCCGTGGTCTGCCGTCCTCACCCCCGTGGTCTGCCGTCCTCACCCCCGTGGTCAGCCGTCCTCACCCCCGTGGTCAGCCGTCCTCATTATCACACACAGGTGTCACTAAGCCCTGTGAGTTACTTCAACCAAATTTTTTTTCTAACAATAATTTTCTCATCCAAATGTTCTATTCATGTTCCTGGATATCGCGGAGGTGTCCTGGTATTCCTTTTACAAAAGTTCCCTAACTATTATTTCAGTTTTCCTTTTCATGAACGGATCTCTTTACTCCTGACTAGCGAACTTCCAGACATGGCGCACCCACCCGGCGTTTTTTGGGACACATGCAGTCCTTGTTGCTTCTTTGCGCACGTCGATTGGCTTAACCCCTCGCCTACCGGGTACTTTCACCCCCTTCCTGTCCAGGCCAATTTTTTTCAGCGCTGTCGCACTTTGAATGACCATTGCGCGGCCATGCAACATTGTACCCGTATGACATTTGTATCATTTTTTTCACACAAATAGAGCTTTCTTTTGGTGGTATTTTATCACCGCCGGGGGTTTTATTTTTTTGCGCTATAAAAAAAAAAAAATAGCAAAAATTTTGAAAAAACAAAAAAGTTTGTTTTTTCTATTATAAAATTTTGCAAACAGGTAATTTTTCTTCTTCACTGATGTGCGTTGATGAGGCTGCACTGATAGGCAGCACTGATGAGGTGATACTGATAGGCGGCACTGATGAGCTGGCACTGATATGCAACAATGTCGGGCACTGATAGGCAGCACTGACGGGCACTGATGAGGTGGTACTGATAGGTGGCACTGATATGCAACATTGATGGACACTGATAGGCAGCACTGACAGGCACTGATGAGGTGGTACTGATAGGCGGAACTGATGAGCTGGCACCGATATGCAACAATGTCAGGCACTGATAGGCAGCACTGACGGGCACTGATGAGGTGGTACTGATAGGCGGCACTGATATGCAACAATGATGGCACTGATAGGGTGGCACTGATGAGGCGGTACTGATAGGGGCAGCAACAGGTGATGGGCACTGATGGGTGGCAGCACAGGTGGTGGCACTGCTGGGCAGCACAGGTGGGTGGCACTGCTGGGCAGCACTGATGGGTGGCACTGCTGGGCATAGGTGGGTGGCACTGCTGGGCACAGATGGGGGCGGCACAGGTGGGTGGCACTGCTGGGCACTGATCATCAGTGCCTTGATCGGTGCCGATCCGTCCTCTGACAATTGCCGGTTATCAGCAGTACTTTCCTTACACTGTGACAGCGTGAGGAAAGTGCAACCGATAACCGGTGATCTGCTGTGTCATTGGACATGGCTGATCACATGGTAAAAGGCCGCTGTGATCAGTTGTGTCCGTCATATGACGTCCTCCCAGAACTGGCCGGATGCAGGGAAGCTGTCATTCCCCTATCTGCAGTCGCCAAGTGGTTAAAGGAACAGTCCACTGTTTGGAGCATGGGGGGGGGGGGGGTTAGTAACTAGAACTGGAGGGTGCAACATCTGGTGCAGCTCTGCAGAGAAACCAGTCAGCTTCCAGGTTTTATTGCCAAAGCATAACCATTTGCCCTTTTAGAAGATTTACCCCCTCCCCCCCCCCCCCCCCCTTCCTGACCAGGTCCATTTTTTTTGCTATTCAGCACTGCACTATTGCAACTGGCAATTGCGCGGTCATGCAACGCTGTACCGAAACTAAATTTATGTCCTTTTTTTTTTTTTTAACACAAATAGAGCTTTCTTTAGGTGGTTTTTATTTTGTGTGATATAAACAAAAAAGACTAAATTTGGAAACAAAAATGACATTTTCTACTTTTTGTTGTAAAAAAAATATCCAATAAACACAACATAGTTCTACGTTTAGGCCAAAATGTATTCTGCTGCATGTCTTTGGTGAAAGAAAAAAAAAATCTCAATACGTGTAAATTAATTGGTTTATGTGAAAGTTTATATCATCTACAAACTATGGTGTACACACTGTATTGCCTGCAGTATCGGGCCCCAGCCTTTCCACGCACATGACCTTTAATGGCCCCCCAGTCTTAGTCCGTAGGGTTCAATATTGAGTTGGCCTGGGTTTGGTGGTTGCCAGGAGAACAGTACTTGCCTGACTACATTGTGCCAAGTGTAAAGTTTGGTGGAGGGGGGATTATGGTGTGCGGTTGTTTTTGAGGGGTTGGACTTGGCCCCCTAGTTCCAGTGAAGGGAACTTTTAAGGCGTCAGCAATTTCATGCTCCCAACTTTGTGGGAAGAGTTTGGGGATGCATTGGAGTCGATGGGGGGGGGGGGGCGCTTTTGCATTGGAGTCGATGGGGGGGGGGCGCTTTTGCATTGGAGTCGATGGGGGGGGCGCTTTTGCATTGGAGTCGATGGGGGGGCGCTTTTGCATTGGAGTCGATTGCATTAGAGTCGATGGGGGGGGCGCTTTTGCATTGGAGTCGATGGGGGGGGCGCTTGTGCATTGGAGTCGATGGGGGGCGCTTGTGCATTGGAGTCGATGGGGGGGCGCTTGTGCATTGGAGTCGATGGGGGGGGCGCTTTTGCATTGGAGTCGCTTGGGGGGGGGGTTTGCATTGGAGTCGATGGGGGGGCTCTTGTGCATTGGAGTCAATGGGGGGGCGGCGCTCTTGCATGGAGTCGATGGAGGGGGCGCTTTTGCATTGGAGTCAATTGGGGGGGGCACTTTAGCATTGGAGTCGATGGGGGGCTCTTTTGCATTGGAGTTGATGGGGGGCTCTTTTGCATTGGAGTCGATTGGGGGGGCGGGGCGCTTTTGCATTGGAGTCGATGGGGGGGCGCTTTTGCATTGGAGTCGATGGGGGGGCTCTTTTGTATTGGAGTCGATGGGGAGGCTCTTTTGCATTGGAGTCGATGGGGGGGCTCTTTTGCATTGGAGTCGATGGGGGGGCTCTTTTGCATTGGAGTCGATGGGGGGGCTCTTTTGCATTGGAGTCGATGGGGGGGGGGCTCTTTTGCATTGGAGTCGATGGGGGGGGGGCTCTTTTGCATTGGAGTCAATGGGGGGGGCTCTTTTGCATTGGAGTCGATGGGGGGGGGCTCTTTTGCATTGGAGTCGATGGGGGGGCTCTTTTGCATTGGAGTCGAATGGAGGGGAGACGCTTTTGCATTCGAGTCGATGGGCGCTTTTGCATTCGAGTCGATGGGCGGCGCTTGTGCATTCGAGTCGATGGGCGGCGCTTGTGCATTGGAGCCGATGGGGGCGCTTGCGATGGGGGGCGCTTGTGCATTGGAGCCGATGGGGGGGCGCTTGTGCATTGCAGTCGATGGGGGGCGCTTGTGCATTGGAGTCGATGGGGGGGCACTTTCGCATTGGAGTCGATGGGGGGAGGATGCTTTTGCATTAGTCGATGGAGGGGGGTCGCTTTTGCATTGGAGTCGATGGTGGGGGGGGGGGGGGTCGCTTTTGCATTGGAGTTGATGGGGGGCACTTTTGCATTGGAGTCGATGGAGGGGGGGGGGCAGTTTTTGCATTGGAGTCAACAAAGGGGCGTTTTCTGCATTGAAGTCAATGACCTTATCTGCTTTTTTTTTTAATCGGCACACCGCCGATAACCCTAATTTCATGCGGTAGATTTCGGTGGCCGGGATTTCGGTGTATCACTACTTCCCCACTCTTCCCAAAACTACAACAAAGTCCAGCCTAGGTATCGGAGAGGGTTGGGAATGCCACCATCACCATCATGGTGCAATACTGCAGAGTATCCAACTTCTATCTAAGGCTTGATGGCCCCGGTGAGGCTGCTCTTGTTGGGAAGGGTCACCATAACTGAGGTCATCAGAGTCCCGGAAGAGAGAACTGTAAAGGCCCAGGAGGATGCGAACATCTAGTGCTCCAAATGTTATCGGATACAGGAGCCCAACACATTCTCCCACACATGAAAAGGTCCAAGCGCTTTAAAACGCAGCTCTTGTTTTAGGCGATGCCATACTTGCTGCGCCTGACACATTTCGGGGGACATGCCCCCTTCCTTCGAGTTCTGAGCTTGAGTTCTGAGGAGGGGGCATGTTCCCCGAAAGGTCCTATCAGTTTAGTTTGTTGTGCTGTATATTCTTGTAAGGACTATACAGCACAACATCCAAGCCCCAAGCAATCGGACTCTCGAAACGCGTCGGCCGTTTACGATGAACGGTTTCCCTGGACCCTTTTGAGGTTTAGTTCTTCTCACGCTTTCTCCAGAAAAACTAAAGCAAGGTTGGCTGGAGGAGTTGTTGAAATCCGCTCCTTTTTGTTCTGATGGGTCCAGGAATGGTGACAGCGTAGTCCTCATCCACGGGGTTGCCTGCTGTTTGCTTACTTTGTGTCCCGTTTCATTTCAGTGGAAGAGACGGTCGGCCTCCGCAGGCCCCGAGAAGAAGGAACCCAAGGCGGCAAAGCCCAAGAAAGAGCCGGCTGTCGGCCGGACCAAGAGACGGAGGAGGAAGGTGATAAAGAGCGAGCCTCTGGATCCGGAGTACGATCTGGGTAAGGAGAGAAAACACGGGTGAGGCTGTTCCAAAACGGAGCAGATTGAAAGAATAACGTCTGATATTTCAGTAATGGCTGGAATGTGGTGGGAGGAGTTACCCTCTGGCTTGTCACCAAGGAGTCAGACCACCCTACCATCTCCTGTTATATTCTTCGTAATGTAAAATGGGGTCCAACAGGGAGAGAAGGAACACCAAGCAGACCCGGGAACCCAAACCATGTCATGGCCTCTTGGTTCTCTCTCTCTCGAAAGGTCTGCAGTGGTGAGATCCTGGTTTTTCTTATTGCTGTTTGGTGAAAACTGGAGACTTTTAGGTATTAACCTGCACTTGGGGGGGATGGGCACAGACCAATTTAGGAGATTCTTCCCCCACCCCCCGTCCTTATTTGTGGGGTTTTGGATCTGAGTTGTCTTAATCGGCTTCGGTCAGCCTTTCTCAACCAGGGTCCTTCTGGAGGTATCTAAGGGTTCCTTGAACCATGGCTGACTGACATCCCATAGGATGGGGCATGCATAGGCCTCGGCCAATGGCACAGAATCAGTGGAATACCACCAGTAATCCTTGTAGCTCTCTGTAAGGGGGATTCTTCCATTTGGCCACCAATGTAACGGACGTTCTTCTCACTGACCACCAATGTAAGGGTCAATCTTCCCTTGCCACCAATGTAAGGGTCAGTCTTCCCATGGACCACCACCCCCAATATAAGGGACATTCTTCCCACTGACCACCAATGTAAAAGGGACGTTCTTCTGACTGACCACCAATGTAGGGACGTTCTTCTGACTGACCCCCCATTGTAAGGGACATGCTTCCCTCTGACCCCCATTGTAAGGGGCAATCTTCCACTGACCCCCAATGTAAAGGGACAATCTTCTCCCACTGTCCACCCACGTAAAGGATGTTCTTCCACTGACCCCCCATGTAAAGGATGTTCTTCCCACTGACCCCCCATGTAAAGGATGTTCTTCCCACTGACCCCCCCCCCCCCCACGTACAGGATGTTCTTTCCACTGACCCCACCACGTAAAGAACGTTCTTCCCACTGCCCCCCCCCCCTCACGTAAATTACATTCTTCCCACTGTCCACCCCACGTAAAGGACGTTCCTTCCACTGACCCCCCACGTAAAGGACGTTCTTCCCACTGTCCACCCACATAAAGGACGTTCTTCCCACTGATCCCCCCCCCCCCACTGACCCCCCCACGTAAAGGACGTTCTTCCACTGACCACTCACGTAAAGGATGTTCTTCCACTGACCCCCCATGTAAAGGACGTTTCTTCCACTGACCCCCCATGTAAAGGACGTTCCTTCCATGTAAAGGACGTTCCCCACCCCCCCCATGTAAAGGACGTTCCTTCCACTGACCCCCCCCCATGTAAAGGACGTTCCTTCCACTGACCCCCCCATGTAAAGGACGTTCCTTCCACTGACCCCCCCCCATGTAAAGGACGTTCCTTCCACTGACCCCCCCCATGTAAAGGACGTTCCTTCCACTGATCCCCCATGTAAAGGACGTTCCTTCCACTGACCCCCCATGTAAAGGACGTTCTTCCCACTGACCACCAATGTAAAGGACGTTCTTCCCACTGACCCCCCCATGTAAAGGACGTTACTTCCACTGACCCCAATGTAAAGGACGTTCTTCCACTGACCCCCCCCCATGTAAAGGACGTTCCTTCCCACTGACCACCAATGTAAAGGACGTTCTTCCCACTGACCACCAATGTAAAGGACGTTCTTCCCACTGACCACCATGTAAAGGACGTTCTTCCCACTGACCACCAATGTAAAGGACGTTCTTCCCACTGACCACCTACTTAAAGGACGTCCTCCTGATGACCATCAATGTGAGGAGAATGCCCCCCACGGACCCCCCATGTAAGGGGCGTTATTTTTCTATCAGATCCAGTTGTGTTTTGAGATGTAGTGGGAGGTTCTGGGAGTATTGTTGTGTAATCCCAGGTGGGCGGAGTGACATACACCCAGGGTGTCCCCAAAACAGGAAGAGAGGAGAAATCTCACTAGTGAGGACATGGATTTAAAAACTTGACCTCGCTGAAAAGGATTTTATTTTTATTGATCTTTGCATCTAAGTTGAGTTTTTCTGATCAGTTACAGGAAGTTGGCAGAAATCTCCCCAACGGGGACACAGACAGTAGTAATTTTATACCTTTCCCATTCTGTCCAGGGCTAAGGGGGCTCCACATCATGTGTGAATGTTAACACCCACTCCTCCAGACTGACACCCACCCATTTTGATATTTGCATAACTCCTCCCAAGAGCCAGCCTACTGCTTGTATCAGGACTGAGGGTTCTGAAGAGGAGTACTGAGCGGGATGCTGTGTTTTTAGGAAGCTATGTGCAGCACCTTGCTGGTCCCTCCCACCAGCCATGATCTGCCTGCATTGCATAGACAAGCACAGAGACCCAGTAATGACATCACTGGGTCTAAAATTAAATGTTAGGATTGTATTTAAAGTGCAACTAAAGCCAAAACTATTTCAGTATTGAATAGCGGAGTGGGGTTTGACCCCCCTGTCTGTTTTTATTTGCGGTCTGTGCCCCCGTGAGGGAGATTCACCATCTCTATTTGTACTGTTTATCGTTATTGAAAGTGAATGTAAAAGAAAATCCCAATTAACACCAAAACGGCAACAGACGGGGAATCTTCCAATGGGGACACTAGTTCTTGAGACACCCAATTTTGAAGGGATTTCCTCTCACTTCCTGTTTTGGATATGGGACAGGAAGTGAAGGGAAATCTCCCCGATGGGGACACAGATGGCACAAAAAAAAAAATTCTGACTTGGGTATAACCTTCGCTTACTTAGTTTTGTCTTTAGTTGCACTTTCAATATGTCATTATTATGTTGTTAACGGGAAAAGGAGGAACCAGGGAAGTCCAAAAATAAACAGAAAAAATTCAGCTTTAACCCCTCGCCCTCCAGAGGATTCCCCCCCACTTCCTGACCAGGCCATCTTTTGCGATACAGCGCTGTGTTACTTTCACTGACAATTACGCGGTCATGCAACGCTGCACCCAAATGAAATGTACGTCCTTTTCTTCCCACGAATAGAGCTTTCTTTTGGTGGTATTTGATCACCTCTGCGGTTTTTAAATTTTTTTGCAATATAAACAAAAATAAAAACAATTTTGAGGAAAATTGAAGAAAAGAACTATTTTTGACTTTTTGCTATTAAACATGTCCAGTAAAAAAATTTTAAAAATCAAATTTCGTCATAAATTTAGGCCAAAATGTATTCTGCTCCGTGTCTTTGCTAAAAAAAAATCCCAATACGTGTAAATGAATTGGTTTACGTGAAAGTTATAGCGTTTACAAATGGCGGTATACAGTATATACTGCGTAATTTTTTTTTTCTCTACTAGTAATGGCGGCGATCAGCGACTTATAGTGGGACTGCAGCGGGCATTCTGACACTGGGGGGGAACTGACTTGGTGTCATTGACATCCCAGTGACACCAATACAGTGATCGGTGCTAATAAAAAGCACTGACACTCTATTGGTGTCACTGACAACCCCAGTGACGGTGCTAATAAAAAGCACTGACAACTCTATTGGTGTCACTGACAACCCCAGTGACGCCAATACAGCGATCGGTGCTAATAAAAAGCACTGACACTCTATTGGTGTCACTGACAACCCCAGTGACGCCAATATACAGCGATCGGTGCTAATAAAAGCACTGACACTCTATTGGTGTCACTGACAACCCCAGTGACGCCAATACAGCGATCGGTGCTAATAAAAAGCACTGACACTCTATTGGTGTCACTGACAACCCCAGAGACGCCAATACAGCGATCGGTGCTAATAAAAAGCACTGACACTCTATTGGTGTCACTGACAACCCCAGTGACACCAATACAGCGATCGGTGCTAATAAAAAGCACTGACACTCTATTGGTGTCACTGACAACCCCAGTGACACCAATACAGCGATCGGTGCTAATAAAAAGCACTGACACTGTATTGGTGTCACTGACAATCCCCAGTGACACCAATACAGCGATCGGTGCTAATAAAAAGCACTGACACTGTATTGGTGTCACTGACATCCCCAGTGACACCAATACAGTGATCGGTGCTAATAAAAGCACTGACACTGTACTAATAGCATGGGGCAGGAAGGGATTAACATCTGGGGCGATCAAAGGGTTAACTGTGTGCTGTTTTACTATGAGGCTATGTGCCATGCAGAGCCATACAAAGCAGTGTGCAGGAGCGATCTGTATTGTTTATACACAGATCTCTTCCCCGTCGGAGATACTCTGTAATCCCCGGCTGCCGCCGAGAAATCGCCATCCGGGACCCAGTGATTGACAGCCGTGGCTGCGAATGGCGACACAGGTAGGGGCACGCGTGCGCCCCCTACCAGAACTGCACAATCACGTGTGTATATATACGTGATTTTGCGCATCTGTGCCGTCCTGTAGCAGAACTAGCGAGGAAGCGGTTAACTCCCCCAAAAAAACATGAAGCACGGGATCACGCTAATGCGGCGCAGGAAACACTGCGAATCCTGTGCATTTCCAATTTTGCGATCTGTTTCAGGGTGTCATTAATTAATCATTGACACCCTCACCACATCACATGAATGCCAGAAATTGCATCACATGGGTGAGAACACCGGATTTAAAAAAAAAAAAAAAAAAGGGGTCCTGCACCCATTTGGATGCGATGTGAATTGAGCCGTACAAAATGTTTGGCTCCATTCACACGGCACAGACCATTGCATGTCATTCGCACAGAAATCGCACCACATTCCTCTGCGAATCACAGTGTGAACCCGGGCTGAACAATACATGAGGAATGGGAAATCCTGCGTGCGTTGTATCTCTCGCCGATCGCGATGCGCGGCTCTGTGTCTCGTCAGATTCCGATGAAGAAGTCATTGTGTTGCGGTATGTTCTAGATCGGGAGGATGTTACTTCACAGAGTCAGCGGTCGGCAGTTAACATCGTTTCCTGTGTCCCCAGTCACACTTCCTGTCGGAGAAGGCGGTCCCTCGCCTCCTGCGATCCCATCTAGAAAGACGTGTTTATTAATACCACACGCCGTCTTCCTGCCTCTCCGTCCGCTCGGCGAGGGGCCCTCTTACCTCGCCTTGAACTGCCATTGTTGATCAACGGGCAGCAGAGAGACGTCACAGTCCGGCCTGAGCTACAAACGGAGCGGCTTCACCCAATAAATAGGAATGATGTCTCTGATCCTTTTTATCATTTCTGGATCAGTTTTAACCCCTTGGGTGGCTCATTGTGTAAGGGGGACTTAAAGGAACGTTCCATCCTCAAACGATCCGATTTTTTTTTTTTTTTTTTTTTTGCTTGTCCTGGTGTCACGTAATAAATACCTCTGTAAAACATTGTTTGGTCTCTGCGCAATGATAGACTTGCACTGTTACCCCCAACTACAGCTGAGCGCTGTGCATCGTTCCACCATTGTTTATCCTCCAATTCACAACCGCAGTGTTTAAGTACTATGTAGGGCCCTTTATAATGTGCTATCTGTAGATTAGTCAATTGATGGATCAGGATCTGTTGTTTGTGCGCCGTTCTTCCTATTTACAGATGGCCGTTGTGTGTCTGTTTGCCAAGATTTTACCTCCCATCCATAGCTGGAGAATTTGCATACTATGTAGGGCCCTTTATAAATTGCTATCTGTAGATCAGTCAATTGATGGATCAGAATCTGTGGTTTGTGCACAATAATAATTCTGCGCCTCTCTCCCTATTTACAGATGACCATTGTGTGTCTGTTTGCCAAGATTGTACCTCCGATCCATAGCTGGAGAATTTCCATACTATGTAGGGCCCTTATAATGTGCTATCTATAGATTAGTCAGTTGATGGATCAGGATCTGTGGTTTGTGCACAATAATAACTCTGCGCCGTTAACCCTATTTACAGGTGACTGTTGTGTGTGTGTTTGCCAAGATTTTACCTCCGATCCATAGCTGGAGAATTTCAGTACTATGTAGGACCTTTATAATGTGCTATCTATAGATTAGTCAATTGATGGATCAGGATCTGTGGTTTGTGCACAATAATAATTCTGCTCTGTTAACCCTATTTACAGGTGACCGTTGTGTGTCTTTTTGCCACTATTTTACCTCCGATCCATAGCTGGAGAATTTCAGTAGTAATGTAGGCCCTTCATAATGTGCTATCTGTAGATTAGTCAATTGATGGGTCTGGGTCTGTTGTTTGTGCACAATAATAATTCTGCGACTTTACTCCTATTTACAGGTGAGTGGTGTTTGTGTGTGTTTGTCACTGTTTTTTACCTCCGATCCATAGCTGGAGAATTTCAGTAGTAATGTAGTCCCTTTTAAAATGTGCTATCTGTAGATTAGTCAGTTGATGGATCAGGGTTTGTGGTTTGTGCACAATAGACCTGCAATGTTACCCCCATTTACAGGTGACCGCTGTGCAACTGTTCTGCCATTGATGCACCTCTGAACCCATGTTGGAGGGATTCAGTAGGCCCCTTGGGTGTATTAAATACAAAGTGCGATCTGTAGATTAGTTGATTGATGGATCAGGATCTGGTAATTGTGTACTGTATCAGACCTGTACTGTTGTCCCCGTTTACAGGTGACTGCTGTGCGTCCATTCTGCCATTTGTTTTACCTCTGATCCCGAGTTGGAGGTATTCAGTAAGCCCCCTGGATGTTTTGATTATAATGTGCTATCTGTAGATTATCTAATTGCTGGATCAGGGTCTGTAAAAGGCCTGCACTGTTACCCCATTTACAGGTGACTGCTGTGTGTTCATTTCGCCATGTTTTACCTCACATCCCTAACCATAGGATGCTGTGTAGGCCCCTTGAGTGCTTTGATTTATAATGTGTCATCTGTGGATTAGTCAATTGATTAGGTTTGTGCACAATAGACCTGCGCTGTTACAATCATTTACAGGTGACTGCTGTGCATCCGTTCTGCCATTGTTTTTCATGCTGAGCCCTGGACGATCCCTGTCCTGAGGGTTTCAGGACTTTGTAGACCTCCTTGAGTACATAGATCATAATGTGCTATCTGTAGATTAGTCCATTGAGGGATCGAGGTCTGTTTGTGAACAATAACAGACCTGTGCCGTTACCCCCGATTTAAAGGTGACCACTATGCGTTCATTCTGCCTCTGTTTTACCTATGGTTTCCAGCCAGAGGGTTTCAGTACTATGTAGGCTCTTTGATTGCATTGATTATAATGTGATATCTGTAGATCAGTCAATTGATAGATCAAGGTTTGTTACTTGTACTCAATGAACTTGCACTGTTACCCCCGTTATGGTAACAATCGTGCCTATTCCACCACTGTTAATGCTAATCCCTGGCTGGAGAGTCTCTATACTATGTAGTCCCCTTGAGTGCATTGATTATAATGTGCTATCTGTAGATTAGTCGATTGATGGATCAGGGTCTGTTTTGTGCACAATAACCGTGCACCATTCCACCCCCATTTACAGGTGACTGTTTGTGTGCCAGTTCCACCACGGTTTTACCTACAATCCCTAGCTGGGGGTTTCAGTACTCTGTAGCCCCCTTGAGAACATTGATGATAAAGTGCAGGAATGTTCTTCTTGTCCCAAGCTGAATTTACATTTGTCGCCTTCCTACATACTAAAGTTGTGTCTTCCCAGCAATAAGCATGCCTCAGATTTGTGAAATATCTGGTGTGTGTTGTCATGCAGGTACGGGGCCGGGCTAAAGCAAAAACAAAAAGCAGAAATCGTTTCAGTATGTAAAACCTGGAGGTTCCCCGTCCATTGAGGGCCCCGGGAAGTCTTTCACTTTTGGGGATCTGCTGGCTACAGAGGGATTGAACTCTGAAAAACAAACTGTAGTACAGGCAAGGATAATGCCTCCTTATGCTGACATACCTTTTTTGTTTTTTGCTGGCAGGTGGACGCTGTGGGGGGGAGGGTGGACGCCTGTTGGGGGAGGGTGGACGCCTGCTGGGGGAGGGTGGACGCCTGCTGGGGGAGGGTGGACGCCTGCTGGGGGAGGGTGGACGCCTGCTGGGGGAGGGTGGACGCCTGCTGGGGGAGGGTGGACGCCTGCTGGGGGAGGGTGGACGCCTGCTGGGGGAGGGTGGACGCCTGCTGGGGGAGGGTGGACGCCTGCTGGGGGAGGGTGGACGCCTGCTGGGGGAGGGTGGACGCCTGCTGGGGGAGGGTGGACGCCTGCTGGGGGAGGGTGGACGCCTGCTGGGGGAGGGTGGACGCCTGCTGGGGGAGGGTGGACGCCTGCTGGGGGGAGGTGGGACGCCTGCTGGGGATGGTGGGCGCCTGTTTGGGGGAGGGTAGACGTCTGTTGGGGGAGGGTGGGCGCCTGTTGAGGGAGGGTGGGCGCATCCTTGGGGAGGTTAGTCGTCTGTTGGAAGGTGGGCGTCTGTTGGAGGGGGGTTGGGGGAGGGTGGGCATCTGTGGGGGAGGGTGTGCGTCTGTTGGGGGAGGGTGGGCATCCTTGGGGAGGCTGGATGCCTGTTGGAGAGTGGGGTCTGTTGGGGGAGGGTGGGTGTCTGTTGGAGAGGGGTTGGGGGAGGGTGGGCGTCCGCTGGGAGAGGGGTTGGGGGAGGGTGGGCGTCCGTTGGAGAGGGGTTGGGGGAGGGTGGGCGTCCGTTGGAGAGGGGTTGGGGCAGGGGCGGCGTCTGTTGGGGCAGGGTGGGCGTCTGTTGGAGAGGGGTTGGGGGAGGGTGGCGTCTGTTGGGAGGGGTTGGGGGAGGGTGGGCGTCTGTTGGGGAGGGGTTGGGGGAGGGTGGGCGTCTGTTGGGGAGGGGTTGGGGGAGGGTGGGCGTCTGTTGGGGAGGGGTTGGGGCAGGGTGGGCGTCTGTTGGGGGAGGGGTTGGGGCAGGGTGGGCGTCTGTTGGGGCAGGGTGGGTGTCTGTTGGAGAGGGGTTGGGGGAGGGTGGGCGTCTGTTGGAGAGGGGTTGGGGGAGGGTGGGCGTCTGCTGGAGAGGGGTTGGGGGAGGGTGGGCGTCTGTTGAAGAGGGGTTGGGGGAGGGTGGGCGTCTGTTGGAGAGGGGTTGGGGCAGGGTGGGCGTCTGTTGGGGCAGGGTGGGTGTCTGTTGGAGAGGGGTTGGGGGAGGGTGGGCGTCTGTTGGAGAGGGGTTGGGGGAGGGTGGGCGTCTGTTGGAGAGGGGTTGGGGGAGGGTGGGCATCCGTTGGGAAGGGGTTGGGGGAGGGTGGGCGTTTGTTGGAGAGGGGTTGGGGGAGGGTGGGCGTCCGTTAGGGGAGGGT